TGGGGGATCAACAATGAACCCAGGGTAGCCGGCATATTGAAAAAAACAAAACAATCTTATCAAGGCCTTCTTAAGAATGTCTTGTACACCTGGATATCTGGAGTGTGGATTACTGATTCTGGATTTAAAGATTTCTTTAAAGTCACCATTTTTTCACATCGCAGACTTAAGGTACTTGTTGGTACAGAATTATAACTCGGCAGAATTATAAAGCTAACGCTACATGTATACTGTTCGCATTGCCATGGCTCTAAAGAACATGGAAGTGATAAAAGTGCCACAAAAACTTTCTTGAGTACATTTGTAATGTGTTCTGTCGTATATATATATTAATTCAATAGATAGAAAACCACAATTAAGTTGGCATGATAGGATAGTTAAAGAATTTATTATTCCAGTGTTAAATCTAGTTGGAAAATACAGGGAAAATTACTACATGCAGAAACAACCAGAGTTCCACCATGTTTACCAGACGAATTATAAATATTTCTTATATCACCATGAAAAAATGGAGCGGACACTAAATCTTTGATGCAAATGAAACATGCGTATGGATATACTGTGTAAAAATTGTGGATTGAAAAAGGTACATTTTTATTGTCAGATGCGACAGCAACATGCAAATCTTGAGTTTTTTAATCACAGATAATTTTGAAAGACAGTCAATGAATGGCTAGTCAAGTCAGCCAGTACCAGCTGCCTTTCTGGTCCCACCGCAATACCTCCTAGCGATATTATCCTGCTCCCAGTCTTAATGGTCCGGACATACTCGCCGTGACGTGTGAACATCTGTACCCTCCCGTTCCCAGAGTCCGCCACGATGATGCGGCCGATGCTGTCTGTACAGATGCCGCTAGGATACATAAGTTGACCTTCACCTCTTCCCTCACCTCCAAATTTCAGCAGGAAGTTCCCGGACTCGTCATACATGTAGACAGAATGAGTGTCCCAGTCCGTCACGAGGATGTTTCCTTCCCCGTCCACAGTGATGTACCGTGGGCTTGTCATCTCACCTTGTGGATGTCCGAATCTCCGCAGCGGAGAGCCGTCCGGACAAAACACCTGAACTTCACCACCTTCGTTGTCAGTCACCAGGATGTGGTTATTGCGAAGGTCCACCGCAACCCTACGCGGGAATCGCTTACTCTTCTGAAGCTCAAACTGTGCCAAGGCGGTCCCGTCCGTGCTGTACTGTGCGATAAGTTCAGTTGACTCGTGATCATCTTTTCCCACTACTACTAGTGCGCCTTTACCGTTCATAGCCACATCCGATGGTGATATCAAATTATTCTTTGTACCCAATAGGACTGTTGGGAAGTGGCGGAGGTACACCCCCTCTGTGTTGTGGACTTGGACTCGCTTGTTTCCTCGATCAGCTACAAATATCTCGTTACTACACGACACCACAATACCTCGAGGTTCCTTGAATTTACCGGGCTCTGATCCCTTCCCACCGTAAGTGATCCCACCTTGAAAAGAGGCTGCAGTAGCATGACGCGTTGCTCCCTCTGCCCCTGCTACTGTGGATTGCTTGTGCTCGGTTTGTAGTTTCTCTTTTTCATCTCCCGCTCTGTCCGAGCCTGTTATTGCAGTGGTCTCTTCTTTTCCTTTTGCAACAGCGTCCCCTTCTCCCCTTGTTGTGCCCTCGCGTGACTCTTTAGCTACCTCTGTTTTGAAACCCACGTTTGCCTTCCTGAGGTTTTGGATACTCGGGTACTCCAGACTCTCTGCTATCTGCAAATGGAGGGGCAGGGTGTCTGAGAACAGGTTCAGAGCGGACAGGCGGGTCCGGTTCCTTGGCGCCCTCTGCTGCTTGATGCGGGGAATGCATCCTACCTCCATGTCATCGACGGTACGCTGTCTCTTGATATCTGTGACGTAAAATGATTTTGCACGTTGTTAGACCTATATTATATACATATCTCATATTTCTGGGGTATGTATGCAGAATGAAAAATGAATGCAAGGATGGCATGGTCTTGCAAGCGATCAGGCAACAAGTTTCAAGCAATTTTAGATTAAGGGAAGAAAAAAGAACAACCCTACAACAGATTCTCAAACTTTATACATTTTCAGAGGGAGACTCTCAGAGATTCTACTCAAACCACATGAGAATTTTTAAATTCTTTTGATAATATATGTCTATAAGAAGTACATAGAGTTTTTTTTTTAGAAATTGAGCGTTCATGAAGTGCTAATTGATTTCTGAAATGCACATTTTAAAGGCTTAGATTTTGTCAAATGCGTTAGTTTATCTGTGATGACCTAATTCAACATACCGTTGAAAAGCTCCGCCCGAGTGACTTCGATTGGTGCTTCAGCGTCAATCTGCAGTGACTTGACGCCCATGAACACAAGTCTAGGGTCGGAGTTATCCGCCATGAGCCTCAGTACCACTGTGCTCTCCCGCGGTATGGTGTAGTGCATCAGGATGCTCTCGTGTTTCTTGTAACCCCTGAACTTGACCTGTGACCCTCCAGCGCCGGTCAGTGATCTTAGATTGTATTTATGATGATTTACGGTTTCGTTTGTCATGCCTGTTGGGCCGTTAAGGACGACGCGGAGGTCCGATGTTGCGCCTGGAAATATATTAAAAAACAGTGTTCGTTATATATAGTAAAAATGGATTCTTCCGCAAACTAAATAATTGTGACAGGGAGTGACAACATTTTCCAAGTGATGACATAAAACATTGTCATGTTAAACAAGTCAGATTCGCCAGAAACAGTTACTCATTACAACAACTGGATATGAGTTTCGAAACGGTCATGTAGATACGTAAAAATAAAACCTATCTTTATACCCGCTTTTGAAATGAATTTCAGTGGCCTACTATTAGGGGAAAGTTTTGAAAGCTTTTTAAAGTAAATTACACAAAAATCTTCTTAAAGTAAATTACTTTACTCACCATCAGCACTTGCACCATCCGTACTTGTTCCCGGTTGTAGTTCGGGATTCTCCGGAATCTCTCGCTCAGACGATTGGAACGGCCTCACAACGTCCCTAACCAGGTCTGCTCGCCCTATTCTGCGCAAGATCTCTTCAAGAAATTCCAAGTTATAGGGATCTATTTTGTCCAGTTCTATTAGTTTTTGAAAAACGTCAATCGCGTCAGGAAGTCCTTCTGCAACGCCTTTTGGAATCAAGTGGCTACAATACAACTTCAAGAGCCTCGTTTTTTTCTCTGTCAGCTCATCAGATATACGCTGTAAGGTGCTCACGAAATCGAAATGAAATATGTCATCCTCTGTCACCTTTCCTGAAGTCTCCATTCTGAAACGAAGTGACAAACTCTCAGTCAACCAAAAATGAGGACAGTATACTGACTAAATTACACAGTCATATTTACCTGCATACTGTATGCCAGACAATAGATAAGTCTTCATGTAAGTAAAAACACACATTTCTACCGCCCCAAAACAAGGAATTCCAAATCAAATCTGTGGACTGCACCCTTCTGAATCCACAGGAATCAACCTCATTAGAAGACATAAGGACCTTTTCTCTCAATATCACAGTGCTCCTGATGAATAGGTGAATAGGGGGACTTGTTACTGAATAACATCCAGTAGATTTCTAGCGGCGACCAATTTATGAATAATTTATCAGGGCGGCGCCCACGAAATCAAAACTGGTTCTTTCGCTTTCACTTTCAGACAGGCACGTGAGGGCAAAAACAATGAAATACTCTACACCCGTTTTTCGTTGATGACTGCTAAAAGCTGGAAACATTGCAAATATAATTTTCGTATGGCTCCAATTACCATAGTTTTGTGGCACGTGTTTTCAGAGCAGAGCCCGTTATATTCTGGCTATTGGTTGTTGTAGAACGGCACAATAAAAATATCATCACGTCTTAGTTACATAATATTTTATTTGATGACGCAATGAAGCCATAGCTCCCCACTCTTTACGCAAGTTGTAGCACTACGTAATGTGTCGAACGTAGCACTACGTAACGTTTGAACCGTTGTCAACGTTTCACTACATGCAGATATTCCTTAAGATCTGTTTCTGTAATTCATAAAAAATGGTCGCCTAGCCGTGCAACGTTTACAATATTCCTCATCGGTAGTGTAAACTTTTACTACGGAGGAGCGTGATCAAAAACTCACCTGAGTAGAGTAACTTGAAAAATCACACCTTCAGATGGTACGGAAAACGAACAGTCTGGTTTTCCAAATGGACTTAGTAGTCTCAGTTGCCGTTTGTCTGCTGCCGAATGAAACCTGTCTGATACGTATATACGTACGTATACATCATAAATATTTACTCTATATCAATATTTTCTGTTGGGTATTTGCATATCAATGAGTCTGAAAGACAAACTGGTGAGAAATTGCCCACACCTACTTCTGCTTCTACTTGTTTTCAAACAATGATCATCAAGTCATGCAGAAATACCCTCCAGGTGTGGCTATAGATCATGATACAATTGGCGTATGCTATGAATTATTTATTATACGTGTGCTTGGCGACGGGTGTGCGTGTGCGTTCGAGCAAGGTTCGAGGAAATACTGAGCATATATTGTTTATTATAAAACTGCCGTCTAAAATCGTTTCCTCATCTACCAACTCCTTCATCTACTGTCATAGAAATAATAAACCATCAGGTGTTCTATGTAAATTTTTGAAAACTTATATAACAAACCGTTACAGTCCACTAGCCACTAGTGATCACTAGTTGCTGTTCCTGTGCATCTCCCTGCTAAGTAATAACAGTAAATGTCAATATCGGTCAGATTTCCTCTCAGGAAATTACATTGGATGCCTTTGAATACCGACAGCTGTTCGGCCGTCCGACATAACGCTACTACATCTACAGTAAACGAAACGGCTAGCACAAACAGCCCAATATCTGCTTGAAAAACCGCTATTACCGCACACCTATAAAGGCCGACGAAATTGACCTGTTCAACAAGTCCATCAAAATAGGAGTGTCTTGTGAACTATTACATGACCCATGAAAACTGCTACGGTATAAAGAGAACAACGTGCATCATATCGCGCATACTATCAGACGACATACCAAACTACATAACAATGCAACAAATAGATCGTGAGTTACAGCTGCGAACATACAGACACGACTTATGCCAATACTCCGAGGAGGTCACTGGCATTCACAATTACAACGCAGTCTCCATTTGAATGGCTTCAGGTGGGAGCAGTGCACGTCTCAGTTGCGTCAGTCTCTTTTCTATCCCTTCTGGAGTCGGTCTTGTAGCAGGAACGTCGCGCCAACACGCCCTCATCAGTCGGTACAGGTCCTCCGGACACTCCGGCGGCCTGTTCATCCTTATCCCTTGCCTCAGGACCCCTACCATCTGGAGAAAAGTGAGCTGCATTCTGCCATCGTAGCACGGATCTTGTCCCAGCGTGGCGATCTCCCACAGCAGCACGCCGAAGGACCAGACGTCACTCTGACAGGTGTACTCGCCGGTCTCGATGGACTCCAGCGCCATCCACTTCAGCGGCAGGAGTTCGTCAAGGCCTGGCCGGTTGGCTCGTACATACTGAGTGGTGGCGTACACATCTCTGGCCAGACCAAAATCAGCCAACTTGGCCACGTCATCGGCAGTGATGAGGACGTTACGAGCGGCCACGTCACGATGGGCGATTCTCAGGCGCTCTAACTCTTGCAGAGCTCGTGCTATATGAACTGCGTATCCTAGAAGATTTTCAAGTTGGTACTCCTGATTGTTGTTCTTTATCCCTCGTAAGAAGCCTAAGAGATCGCCTTTCGGGGCATATTCTAGAAGGATGTACTTCTCCGCAGACTTGGTGATGAGCCCCACAAGTCGAACGATGTTGGACTCATTGCGATCGTTGTCGTCTTGTCCCTGCACTTGGTGCACGGCTACCAGTATGGCTGCTTCCCTGTAGAAGTCACGATAGGACTGCGCGTCCTCCATGCGAACTGCTTTGGCGGCGACGTCTAGCTGTCCCGCAGCCGTGCGTAGCTGTGCCCTTCTGACTTTCCCAAACATTCCTTCCCCTATCAGGGGACCAGGAGTGAGATGGCGGGCCTTCTTCTCCCAACGCCCGAGCCAGCCCGGCTGTAGAGTCTGTGCTAGGTCCTGCTCCATTCTCCTCAGCTCGAAAAGTATCTTTTCTTCCTCGCCTGTTTCAGGCACGGAGCAAGCCAGAAATCCTGTTTTAAAGAGTATGGCCATCACTATGGCAACCAGCAGGACTAAGGAGCCTAGCGGGATCAGGATTTCCAGCAATGGTTGATCTCTGGTTGTCTGCAATTGGTCACAGTACCGTCCCGTCCACGGTGTTACACATGTGCAGCTACCGTCAACGCTGTTGCATGTGGCGTTGTTCTTACAAACACAACGCTGCTGGCATCTCCACCCGAAACGACCGCTTGGACACGGTTTGCCGCAGTCGTTTCCGTACCAGCCGTCGGTGCAGTTACACCTGCCTCCGCTAGGACTGCAGCTTGCATTATTCTGGCAGCTGCAGTATTTTGTACAGTCTTTACCGTACGTACCACGGGGGCATTTTGTCTGACACCTGGTTCCCGTCCATCCCGGCGGACAGACACAACCGGCCCTCCGGTCACAGCTGGCACCTTGCAGGCAATCACACACTTCATCACAATCGGCCCCCTTGTGGTTCGGTGGGCAATGCACATCAAGAACCATTGTTGCATTTAGAGCAAGTCCATCTTTGTCAAGAACCATGCAAATGTAATGTCCACTATCTTCAAGTTGTATGTTTGCGACAAGTACAGTCATGTGGTTCTCGCCACTAACCAGTTTCATTGAACCATTTGGAAATCGCAGAGACATGACCTTGGTATCAATGTTGTGTGCCCTACAATGTAAAGCCACTTTGCGGGAAGTGTAGATTTTCCGAGGGTCGCTAGGTGTCGTGGTTATCGAAACGTCTGGCTTGGGAATGTCACAGGCCACACCTTTCCAGCCGGGGGCACATCTACAGGCGCCGTTAAACCCGTGGCAACGGGCGCCGTTCTTACAGATACAGTTCTTATTACAGAAGAAGCCGTATTTTCCAACAGGGCAACCTATGGGGCGTACTTCTATATCTACATATTCAACGCTTGATATTTCTATCCTGGCGTTGCCGTGCCATACCCTGACTGGAGAATGTAGAGATGTTGTAAAGTTGCAGGAATAATACGAATATAGCTTCGCTTCCTTCCCTGAAAAAGTGCACTTGGATAATATAAAATACCTGATATTCTCGTCGTCTACGATAGTGTTAGGAACAAAGTTTTTTAATTTCTTAAGTCTTGATTCGTCGTCGCGTGATGTCCAAAACAACTCAACTATGAAATCGTGATTATCAGACCCTGCACTACATGTCATTTGACGTATGCCGTTATCGTATATATCTTTCAATAAAATGGCATCATCAGCCCAAGTTGAGTATGTAGCTAAACGGAAAGTACAGTCACTGTTGTTTGTGTCAGCCCTCCAAGGATCATAGGTAGTACCGTGCAAGAATATGAAGTCATCCTTCACATGCTTCCTCGTGTACAAGATATCACCATTTGTGGTCAGCCCTTCCCCACTTAACGTAAAACTAAAGAGTAAATCTGATACGCCACGTTTAGCTTTGGTAGGTGTTTCGCACGTTTCGTTGTACACAGGAGGGTAGCCCACAACGTCAGTCAACTGCACCTCGACACTTGTGTTGTACAATCCCCTGCGAATGTTGAGCAGATATGCCGACTCTACAAACCAGTCCAGAGGGTTGGCGACCAGAATGGTGCAGTTTTCGGTCACGTCGAAGCGAAAATGTGGATCCCCGTCCATTTTGGTACACGGAAGTTCCGCTTTGTCTCCAATTTGGGTCCTAGGTAGGGTGAATATGGCCTGTCCGACAGCCGCGTTTTCTGGTACGGAGACTCGAAACTCTTCTGTTGTAGCTGTGGTCTGGTGAGTTAATATCAGGTAAATAACAATCATGAGAGGCGTCGTCTGTAGGTAGTGCACCGCCATGATTCTGTCGTGAACGAAACACAATTTGAAGAAGAAACGTCTATACGTTTGGTACCATGCATATGCCAAGTTGTCACCCCTTGAAGGCAACTGCCTTCGTCCTTTGACCTTAATTGTTACGTTGTATAGCTGGTTTTGCAACTTCATGCCTGATTGACTGCTTGCAATCATGAGTTGTTCATTATATGTTGTTAAGGCCGCAGCAAGTCATTTTTATAGATGACGTCGCATCAGCGCGTGCATCAATTTTTGTCTGATTTAAAAAGACTGTGACGGTGGTCAACTTACCGAAAATG